CCAACTTCCTCACCATGGACAGACAAAGGAGTGACAGGGGTCCTGGATTTTCAGGCATTTAACCAAAAAAAAAAACATTCAAAAAACCCACTGATTTCGAGACGATGGAATCGGAAGTGCAAAAATGCTAATTCATTTCCGGGGGTATACTGCTACACAGTATTGTCTATATCAGATGTCTTCAAACTTTTTTACCCACAAGGCCCATGTCACAGTTTTCTGAGAACTTGTGCTCCACAGTTTGAATACCTCTGGTCTATAACATATTAAGAGTTAGAAAAGGATTTATAGTGGCATTTGCAACCGACCCACTATATGAAATCTGGATTAAACAGATATGTGCCTGTATGTCATTTATTTTTTATCATGTCCATTAATGTTAGACCATACCCAGAGTGAAAATACGAACAGATAAAAATGACATATAGTGTTACTGGAAAGCGCTGTGGGTGGATGAATGAAACCCTGCCAATGAGGCAAAACTCCTCCTACTAACCCCCTTCCATTCTGCTTCCAGTCTACTTAGAATAATGGGTAAAAAAAAAGTCTCATGAAGATATGGGGGAAGAGAGAGATGGGAAAGAAGAATGAAGGAAAGAAGGAGGAAGAGTGTGTGTGTGTGTGTGTGTCAGGCGGCAGAGATGGAGGCAGCTGCAGGTTAGAATGCTTTATCTAAAAACTGGCAAACAAATCTTAAACGTTAAGCACAATTTTGGTCAAAAACAGGCAAGGGTTAGGAAATGTACAAATATTGATGCGCAGCACATGCTAAGAAGGGGACAGAGTGCCAGACAGGGGTCCATTAATATGTCTGCCAGCAACATCACTCCAGTAAGTCGTTCCATATTCATTTTCCTTTGCAATTGCACTACAGCTCGAGCAGCATGCTGAGAGAGCTAATTAGCACAGCCCACCTCAGTGTGCCCAACCCAACAATACTCCTGTAATAAAACCCTGCAACCAAGCTCCTCTTCCCTCCACACACACACAGCTCATAAATACTGCTCCCTCAGACATATATGCCACACTTGCATATATGCTCTCCTCTCACTCACACTTTCATTAGATCAATCTGCTCACTCTGAGTAATCACAATTTAATTTCATGCGTTTCAAATTTAATTTGTTTATTGTTATATCCCAAACTGTCATTATTGCATCCAAAGGCTCTGCTGTGTAGTTTTCATCTGATACATAAGGAACAAAAAATGCTGTATCTATGCAATTAAGACTCCTTGTTTTCATGACATGGCTGTGCCTAAACACCATATAATTAGGAATCCAGACAGAAGATTTTTACTCCTTCCTCTCTCATTCAGACTGGCAAGCTTAGCATCATGACTGATGCTACATATAGCAGTATTTTGCAAACTACATACATATGGCAGTAATTTGCTTGTATTATAAGACTTTTTTACAATAATGTTTTCCTAAAATGGTGTCATTTAGAAATAGTTGTCCTTTATAGTCTGTATTTTTTCTGAGCTAGCTAACATTTGCTTACAGTTGAGGCCAAAATTTATATACACCTAAAGACATTCAAACTCAATTTTTCACAACTATATGCATTTCATGTTACCATACATTTCCTGTGTTATGTCAATTTGGGTATCTACTTTATTTCAATAATATTTCATTTCAAAATAATAGCTAAGAGATTGATTTATTTCAGCTTTTATTTACTATGTCAGATTTTCAGTGGGTCAAAAGTTTACATACCCTGTCTTAGTATTTGGTAGCATTACACTTCAATTGCTTGAACTTGAATCAAATGCTTGGGGTAGTCGTCTCACAATACTTTGCCGGAATTTTTGCTCATTCCTCCTGACAGCACCAGTGTAACCCAGTCAGGCTTGTGGGCCTCCTTGCTTCCACTGAAAATGCTTTTTCAGTTCAGTCCACAAATCTTCTGTGGGATTCACGTCAGGGTTTGTGATGGCCACTCCAATACTTTCACTTTGTTGTCTTTAAGCCATTTTGTTATAACTTCGGAGGTATGCTTAAGATACCTCCAACCCTATCCCTAACCCTATGTATGCTTAAACCCATTTGTGACCAGGTTTTAACTTTCTGACTAATGGCTTGAGGTGTTGCTTCAGTATTTCTAGATAATCCTTCTTCCTCATGATGCCATCTATTTTCTGAAGTGCACCAGTCCTTTTACCAGCACAACACCCCCACAACTGCCATGATGCTGCCACCCCAATACTTCACAGTTGGGATGGTGTTCGTCACATTAAAAGTGGCAACGTTTTTCCTCCATACATATAGCTGATCATTATGCCCAAAGAGATAAACTTTTGTTTCATCTGACCACAGAACAGGCTGTTCTCCTCCAAAAGGCTGGTGATTACCTGCAAAGTTCAATCTGGCTTTTTTATGGCGGTCTTGGAATAGGGGCTTCTTCATTGCTAATGCTAATGATATACGCCTTCATCAGTCAGAGGTTACTAAGAGAAACATTGTAGAGGTGTATAAATTAACAAAGGCGATGTCCGATGCTGTAGTATGCTCTGGCCCCATCACAATACAGCGTGGCGATGTAGCTTACAGCAGGTTATGGCAAGTTAACTGCTAGATGTCCAGGTGGTGCTCCAAAAACAATGTGGGCTTTATGTATAATTGGACTATTGTGCACATGCTTAACTCAACTCTGAATATGGCCCATAGGTTAAGGTTGGGGTTAGACAATCATATAACAAATATAGAGCAAGCAAATTATTTTAGTTTCTGCAGATATTTGGTAGACCTTACATCACCTCTACTTCAAATTGTCCAGAATAAAATGACAGAAAAAAAAATCAGAAATCTCTGAACTAAAGGGGAAAAAGTAGCTATAGATAATAGTAAGAAGCTAATTATGAAACCAGGTCAACAGGCTCTTTAAAGCTTCTGCATGATCTCCAGCCAACCAATTAGCTAGGCTAATAATACAAAGAAGGAACTCTGACCTCAGGGCTGCCATTTTAATAGAGAAACCATGTATAATTTGTTCAGAGCTCTGTGTGTTTTTAAAAATACCCATTTTTGGTCAGGTGTAAAGACAAAATTCTAAATACAGAATTACAGTGTCCCTCTACCAGTCAAGCAGTTTTCAAAGCTTTGTATGAGACTATCCATTGTAATGACTTTTTAAATTTCTATTAGGATGTGTAAATTCAATTATGAGAGAATAAATGGTTAAGAGAAATGCTAATTTATGGTGTGGTACCTTGCAGAGGAAGTTGATGTTAAACCCGAAAGTCTGGGCATTTCTGGAGCCAGCATTCATGTAGTTTCCCACAAGCAGTACCAATTCCAGGAGCTTGCTGAAGCCCTCACTTTTCTTCACTTCCTCACATGCAAAAGTGACATTCATGATGTCA